AACATTGTATCTCGAAAACCTTGACCTCGGCTTCTATTCATGCCGTATGGGCCAATTTTGCACTTGTGCCTTGACAATACAGAGCGCCAAGGAACGAAGAAAGTGTTCACCATAAATAACTCTACATGATAAAAGTAATGAATAGCGATTGTACAGAATAGTACCGAATGCGAGTCTCATAATAGCGGATTGCAAACGTTAAAAGCCGCCGCGGGCAACGTACGCGCCGCGAGTGTGGGTCTAGCCAAGCAACTCTCAGCCGCAGTCCGCAGCTAAACAAAGAAAGCCTCGTGCGAATAGTTCACGCTTTGACTCTTGCATCATTGTAATAGACGAACGATGGAATGGGCCAACGACTCCGAATTAACGCCAACTCATCCTCGTCGCCGCCGGAGTAATCTATCTAATCGCTGTCACTACAATTCATCTTATTGATGCACATTCTATCATCGCATCTTCGTGTTGACAGTACTATGAACTATTACGATGGCTGTTTCCACCTTATTTAATTCCAATAAAGCAAAACATAATGTAGTAAATATAAATTATAAGCGACTTCAAATAAAGAAGGTGTAGGTTCTCGATTCAGGGCAAGGCGTACCTATGGGTTTTTTTTTCATATCACAGCGGCTATAAAACTGCATAATAAATTCATTAAATAATATTTTTAATATATATATTTTTGCATTACTCTACTCAGGCCGAGCACCTCGTGTTAAGTAGATGCTAGAGCCCATGGACATCACAACGTGATCGCCCACCCTCACTCAACACGAGAACAAATCATAACTGTTCATACTGTACACAGATTACAGATTATTTATATCATACCTAACAAACGTAATCTATACCTACTGTTTTTGAGTGTGTCAAAATCTGAATAACATCTATCCAAGTATTGTCTCATTGATAAATAAGTACATACACATATTTTAATTAAATAACCATTCATTTGTTTTCGTATGAGGATAAGAAGGCATTTCGTCATCTGTGTTTTGAAGACATGAATCTAAAGTTTTGTTTCAAGTTTTGTTAATGTTGAATTTATCCACCTACATATTCTATTTTTACAGTTCACTAAAGGCAACGATATCAATAAATTACCGGTAAGCTTTAAATCACCGCGAAGAAAGCATTGAAACGTCGAACGTGTCTCTAAATTATTAATATGCACTTGTTCACGCACTTTGTAATTACTGTCCGTTTCAGTTCACGGTATAAAATATTTAATATACTGTAAAACCGTACTCTTTATTTTGGCATAAGAGCGTTCTGTTTGGATTAAATTCTCGTTTTTAAATAATAAATGAGTCCTCAAAGCAACTGCTTATGGCTAATGGTAACTGCATTCCGAGAGTGTCGCCAGAGAAAAGAGCCGTGTCAATGAACCGTCCTGTGGTGAACTGCTCCGGTTCCGCTTAAGCCTGGTAAATTAAATCAATTAGCGAAACAAGCGCCGTTAGCTCAACCTGCACGAAGCCTTGTCCCCTCGCAGGCAAAATCAAACATAGATAATATGTTTGAAGTACTCAATTAACTCACACAATTCTACTACATAAATAACAATCCTAAATTTAAAAAAAACAATATATATATATACGTACTTTCACTCGTTTAATGGCAAATCAATATAATACCTGACGAATGATTCACCGATGCTATAAATACACGAAGGCACGTGTATTAATTCCATGCAACTTTATTTAATAAAGACAGACACGTCATGTTATTGTCGGGGTGCACCGGATAAGCGTGGCGACCGCGACCGGCCGATTGTCTCCCGACCATCGTAAATAACTCGCGTCCTGTCCAACCGCCGCCGCGCCGCCATGGATACCGACCGGAGACGCCGACGGTTAGCAAATCCTTCTACTGCTACCATTATACTTTTGTCATCTTCTAACTTCAAATTCTCGATCTTGCTTGTATTCGAATCGTTACGAAGTGAATCACCTTATCTAAATTCAAATCTTCGAGAAATCATAGTTGGTTATTCTCTGTGCACACAGGAAGTTAATTTTTGCCTTCGGAATACGGATGAGTGTAACGTGTGCCACGCTCGGCCCACCGACTTATCCGACGCCGTAGTTATTAATATCTACTAACATTGAATTATTATTTATTACTACTGTATTAGCTTACAAACCAATGCATAGTAAGTGGATCTGAAACACCAATAAACACAACAGCCGGCCTAACATCGCTGCTCCGAATTTTCGTGATCAAATTGACGAGTTAAGATCAGGCGATTGAATTGGCTTTAGGCTATCAATTTCCACTCAATTGGAACAATGGGGATAATATGATATAGATAGAATGTATATAAAATACAAGAACCGTGTTTCTTTAGTCTATTTAAGTGAATGTTACACGCGGAGGGTGCATAGAAGGCGGGCAGGTATGGTCGAGGTCCGATAGCATCAGTGCACGGCGCGGTCTATAAATAGACGAAGCAGGCAGAATCTTGAACCAAACGAGCTCGTCACTGAGCCTCAAAGGGCTACTTACATCAAATATTAATGTTTTAGTACTTCATAACTTTAATCGGCTATCGTTGAATGAAAAAAGGCAATCTTAATAAACATCCAAAGTAATTATAGCAATTGGTTATATTTTTAGCGAATAACCGCTGCAGTTTTAGTTTAGGCTCACAGGCGCCTGCAAATGAGCCAGCCCTGTTGCTCTGATACCGCAACGATGAACCATAAAACACGCCGAGACGGGGTGCAGTTTCTCGCTTGTTCGCTTTCGTTCGCGCATGCGTCTGGCTATTATTTTTTTCCCCTGATTAGAGTGAAAGACGCGCAACCGGTCCGTGAGCGAAGGCCGCGCCCGGCAACGAGTGTACTGGCTCTGATGCAAAGTCGAAGACCCGCGCCCGCGCATCCTCGCCTCCACGCTCGCTAATGATGCTCAATCCGCTCAGCCGTTCCCTAATTGGGTTGACGCACGACATATAAGAGTATTAATAAACCATAGAGAATTTTATTCATAATCTCACAAGATTAATAATATTGTGATATTTCCCTCGAAAACATTCAAGACTAGACTATCTATTCATTAATTAATTTGAATTCATTTTATATAATAGCAAAAAACTCTACGCCTTCTTGACTTATTCAGATGCAAATTTTAGCAGCCAGATAAGCGTAGTAATATTGTTTTGTAATATTACTCATTAGGTTTCATTCTTACGATTTATCATTAATAAAAATACAGTATAATAATTGAAGATTCTATGAATACGAAACTTATAAGTTTTAAAATTAAAACACCGCATTTATGTATTTTGTATACACCTTCTGTTTGGATTAAGTAATGAGCAATGATAAGTTAAAAGTTGTTTGATTATATTTGAAAACCATGCTATCAACAAGAAAACCCGCGATATATATGTTATACGTATATATTATTATTTTACTAATTTTTATATACGTTCTAATGTAATTTCATTAAACTTAGCCTGCATGAGTAATTCTTATACTCGTAGTACAACCTTACAAGCTGAGACTCACAGTGCCTATCAATTCACACCGTCGGATAGGCGAAATGTACAAGCTACAGCTGCGATCCTTATCCAGAAACATCTATGGCAGTATGTTCTTTATACTTATTTATATTTTATTAGAAATTGTAAATACAAACATACCTACATACTACATATATATTTTTATACTACAATTTATTATTAGAGTATTTATTACAAAGTGTTTTTTTTTACTATTCGGTAGGATTTTTTGTATATTTCCATATTTAGGTTTCATCTGTACAACGTAGTACATACCTGTAAATAATCAATTAAATACACCCATAAATATTGATTTTAAAAAACTGTGCAATTGCAGTTTTAAGATTTTACTATTTTCTTATATCTATATTATTTCTCAGTTCACAATAATAAATTGAATTTGAATAGCGGTAAAGCGTTCAAATATTCATCGTGAATTACGAACAAACAGAAGTCATTAGAATATAAAATTATAACCCATTCAGTCAGCGGAAACACATCAAGTTTACGATTAATCAATATCTATAAAAGCATGACATACAGGAATACGTAATACTCATCACAACCATGTCTGTATTTTATGAATAAATAACATAAAAACATCATAATAGTGACGTTACGAATACTAATAAGCTTAGACAAATTCGTTGAAACCTACGCGCGACTAATGCCAAGATGATCTGTTTTCTGTTATCTTCCCAGTAATAATTCTGCAGTGTGTGTTCGTGTGTGTTAATACTGCAAAATTATTACACGTTGCAAGATCATATTTGCGTTTTGCGTTTCTATTAATGAATAGGCACAAAACGAAATAGTAGGTACCTTTATTCCGTTGTATGACAACTTTTTTTTTCAATTTTGTTGTTTTTATAGAAGACGATTTTGTTTGCTATCTACAAAAACCATTTTAAAACGATTTGTTTTCTCTATCTATTCTATTCTATATCTATTATATCTATTCATCTATTACATGATAAAAAAGGAGATATCTTAATACTAAATATGAATGCAAATCTTGACATGTCAGTCACTAATTAAGGTCGAATTTAAACTGCTGGTGCAAACACTATTTATTATGAAGGAACATAGGATTACATGTCAAAAATCATAATTTTTGTAGTTTTTACACGTCAGATAAATGTTTTAGTAACGAAAATCAAATTAACATGGCATGCTATAAAGGTTATCTAATAAATTATAGGGCCATAATATTTGAAATGTATTCAAATATTATGGCCCTATGTTCTTCAGTTTTCACAAATCGTACACATAACTAAAACTTCATTTTTACGACTTAAAAAACACGTTTATTATTTCCATTGTTACTATTGCAGACGTTTTGTGTAGTTCACAGTTTTCTCGATCGTGACTCACGTCGCAACGTAGGAAATAATAAAATGAAAATTATAAGCGCGAGATTAAATCGTAAAAGTTGTTTTAATTACATATGAAAACATTTATCACATAAATATTATGGGTTTTTAAGAACACAATGGGCGTTTTGAAAATCGGGGTACCATTACGGTAAAGAGTACGTATGGGTAAAAAGTACGTGAAATCATAAAGTTGAATCATGTTAAATCATAAAAATAATCTTTGTTATTATTAAGAAATAATACAATATTTTATTCTTCTTAACACTTAATATCTATACAAACATTTCTAGTATCGTAGTATTCTTTTGGATTTCACGAGTTGTAGATATAATAAAACTAATTTTAGATTTTGTATTCACCATGTCGTCCGTAATTATAAAAAAACTGTATACTATTCGAAGCGTTGGAAATAATAATAAAATATATAATGCCAAACGGGATATTAAGCTTTAGAAGTAACTTTAATTACTTCTTGCACCGGATTAGTAATTAAATAAATAAAAAATAACTTCTTGTAAAAGTGTAATTTTTATTCATTAAACGGGTACAGCTTGCATCTATTCTTTTATTGTCGTTAACTACACCAATTATATAATATTACACCTAGGTTATGCAATTCGTCTTGTTTACGCTACATTCTTCTAATACAGTGATTCTCAACCATTGTTCCGCGGCACTTTTGTGTGCCGCCAAATTTCAAAAGTGTGCCGCCAATTTTTTCGAATATATAATAATGTTAATATTATTAAATTATATCATTTTAAAAGAAAAATATTTTAGACATGAATATATATTTAAATCTACAAAAAAAAATTATAGTATATTTTAGTTTATTTCGTATATTAAAATTTTTTGATAAACTATTTATGCAGTGTGTTGTAGTAAGTAAATAATTTTTATCTTTTTTTTTTGTGTACCTCCAAATTTTGAAATCGTTAAATATGTGCCGCAACAAAAAAAAGGTTGAGAATCACTGTTCAAATACATATGTTTGAGCGGGTACAACAGCAAAATCGCTAATGGCATTTGGATTTCTCTCTCGAGTTTTGTCCCGAGAGTTTTCCTTGTTAACCTGTCCTGTAGATTGTCGTTTCTTGTTTCAGCCATCGATGCGGCTTGACTAATGAAGATTTAAATCGACGTTGGTGTAAGCCCAGTCCGGTTCTGCATCCGTCTATCTATCATACTAAGGTTAGATAATATCGAAGGACGATTTGCCAGTTGACGACGTCAAGTTAATTTAATTAATATCGGAACTGATTAATTACTTATCGTCGTTATTTATAAACCAAAACGGTTATTTTTTATTTTGTTAAACAAAGGTTTGTTTATATTATTCAAAAAATTAAATAGGTTTTAAAAAGCTATGGACAATGAGAAAATTTAAATGTATTATGTAGAAACATTCCTTTTTTATTGCCCTCTATGTTAGACGAGCAAACTTTGCTCCTATATAAATGGGAAGGTGATGAGAGCCCCTCCTCACCTAAAAAGGAACGGATGAATACTGAAAGAGTTTGCGACAGCAGCTTGACTCTGCCCCTGGCATTGCTGACGTCTACGGGCGATGGTAACCACTCACGATACGATGGTCCGTATGCTCGTCGGCCTATAAGGGCCATAAAAAAACAAAAACAAAATCGATCAGACGACACACTTGTTGATGAATGGTTACAATCCTCTGGACGCTAATTATAGCAGGGGTCCAGCCAGGTCACTACATAGCAAAAAAACTTATATAAAATGTTCTTAATCTGGTTTGACACGTCAGAGCACTGGGAAGACACCGTTGAAGGAAGATAGTTTATAATGATGCCTAATAATAATTATACCAATAGTATTTCATTTACAGGGCCTAATAGAATATTTAGTACGGGTCTGGAAGAAGCCTCCGCTTGTGTACTGCGACTACCACGGCCACTCGCGTAAAAAGAATGTATTCTTCTACGGTTGCGCTGGCGCTGAGAGCTGGTGCAGCAGCGATCGCCTTGTACAAGATGAACCGGTTAAATACCTCGTAAGATTATCCGTGAAAACGATTTTAATATTTGTCAATACATAGAACATGTATTTTTTTTTTATTGATTATATCGGTGGACGAGCACACCGCTTCCTATTTTTTTATACTGGATCATTTTTTTCGATTCGATTTATAAGTAATGCTCGTAGTTTAAAGTTTTTCACAAATGTAAAGCCATACTTTTTGGATCAGGACATTTTTTTTTTTTTTATTGCTTAGATGGGTGGACGAGCTCACAGCCCACCTGGTGTTAAGTGGTTACTGGAGCCCATAGACATCTACAACGTAAATGCGCCACCCACCTTGAGATATAAGTTCTAAGGTCTCAGTATAGTTACAACGGCTGCACCGCCCTTCAAACCGAAACGCATTACTGCTTCACGGCAGAAATGGGCAGGTACCTACCCGTGCGGACTCACAAGAGATCCTGCCACCATGTAGCAGAATTTATTTATGATGTTTTTAAAAACATCGCACTAAACCATACTGTTCATACGATTTATAGCTAACGATGGTTATAAAGGTATCTGAAGAAGACAGGCGCATTTCGAATCTCATAATTTGTTCAGGTATAATTAATTAGATTTTCTGATTTCTAATGGTGAGTTTGCTGATATTCATTTAAACTGAAAAAAAAACTTACACGTATTGTGACGTATTCATTTTTATGGCCTTTTCACATCTGCTCTTTGTGTAAATATTTCCTAGAAAATATCATGTGGACAACTTATGTATGTAATGTATTATAACTGTTTGTAAGGTTAGAAACAGGTGGTATATACAACTACGAAAATACTTTGTAAATAAAATGTTGTACTTGATCGTCGCTAGGTAAAGCTGCATTCCTGTTACGTGATCCTCGTCGGAATTTCATGATCCGATCCCACGTCCTATTAAATATTTTTATCCGAGTTCAGGAACGACACAGCGTCTTCTCGCATTAAAACTGTATAATCTCAAAACTTACTAATTTTACAGGAGAGTGTTTTAAAGGTTTAACATGTGATATTTTTAATGTTAATCATCTTTGCAACATTTATTTTTTAACAGTTACATTATCTGTCTTTTAAAGTAAAATAAAATTATGTATTAATTTTATTAATACTCAAAACAAAAAATTTAAGGAAGATTTTTGTTTTGAGTTTGTTCTTTTTTTTTTGTTTTGTTGTTGTTTGTTATTCTTTTGTCAATGCACCTACCATGCATTATCTCTGCACCACCCTATGGTCGACTGGAAGAGAATGCCCATAGCATTAAGTCCGCCTGTGTACAAGTTTTGTTTTGTGCATAAAGTATAAATAAATAAATAAAAATAATAGTAGTCAGAATATAGGTAAACTAAAAAAAAAACTAAAACTAAACTACAGTCTTTTGATAGTATTTATGAGAAAAATACTGGTGATACCAAATGATACCGCATATTAACTCAATTTCGAATATTTTTGGAAATTGTACACTTTTAATGCGAAAAGACGACAGGAACAATCGATGATAGCCATTTAAAACTGTTTTCTAGAACTATTAACTTTTACTAATGGATTGTAATTTCATTAATTTTTTTTGCAGATGTTGCCAGCCTTGATGCACAGAATATCACCTGCTTTTGCACTCGGTTCGTGTTCTTTCCGTGTAGAAAGAGAAAGGGAGAGTACCGCTCGGGTAACGGTATGGAGACACCTTGGTGTTACGCGCTCTTACACAATGGAAGCCTCTTTCTGCGGTTTCGATCGTGGACCTTTTAAGGTGACCTAAAGAACGTTCATCATAATCTTATGATTTAAACAATAATTGAAGCATGTACTGTAACCTACACATGTGATCACTAAGCGTTAAGCCAAAATTAGATGTTAAGTCGAAAATTTTGTTGCATAAGCAACGACCTGATCAGGCCGAAACTCTACAAATATCTTACTTAGCAGATATACTATCTACTGACAATTCAATATCAATTAACAATTTTTTTTTTAAACTCAGAATTATAAACAGTTAATCAATCATTTACTCTACAACTATCATACTTAGCAGATCTACTATCTACTGACAATTCAATCAATCAATTCAATATCAATTAGCTCTATTTTTAAAGACTCACAATTACAAAGAGTTAATCAAGAATTTACAAGTCTAGACTGTTTAAATTAGAAATGACAGTTTATCTAGAGATTAATGATATCAATACAAGCAGCAATACGCTCAGTGTTCTGTTCTCGCAGCTAAGTCCAAACGTTTTAATTCGCAACTAATCCACAGTCAGCCTTTTGCGTGAAGACGTCTAATCGTCTGTTGTTTTATTAATGAATCGTCCGTAGACATTGGCGTGACTGTCAAACGTTTCCTTCTTGCCTGTGGGATATGTAACACCTTTGTGGATATCGCATAACTTATTCATAAGTTCCTGCACAAGCGGAACTGCCCCTTTATAGCGAAGTTTTCGCTAGCCGGCACCGGGGACTCACGATGTAAAATTGTGGGAATAGATATAATGCCCGTGCAATAAACCGCTCATGAGGATGCAATTACGTGAAGCTTGATGGAGGTGTAATCGCTATGGTAATAGCCACTCAAAGTCCGATTTTAACTGTACCCGTACAGGGTTTCCACCTGAACACCCAGCACCTACAGAATGTCGGCAGCGACTTTTGTGAAGCTCTTAATGGATTGAACGACAGCGCTGCTAATGTCGACATTCAGCTAACGAAAGACCTCAATGGGTGCGTAAAATTTTTCATTTTTTTATTATTATTATTATCTTTGATATTTCAGTGCATTATAACAATGTATTTTTTTAACAGAAATATCATTGAAATTCACTTAGCGGTGTCAGGGGACAATAGGCAAGTTACGTTGTTGTGTGATTAATAAATTATAATTTTAAATTAATATTGTTTATTTTAAACAACTAATCGAATAATTTTCATGTTCAACTTTTTAACATGCAACAAATTGTTTTCTTATAATATTGCTGCTAAATTCCGGCTACTGATTTTATTATAATACTAATATTGTATAATAATCGGGTTGAAAACTAATTCCACGTGCTATATAAGTTACCCAGCCTAGACAAATTGTAGAAATAGCTTAAGCGTGTGACAAAATGACGAGTGACAACGATTGACGGCATGTTGTTTGTAGATTTTAATCGAATCAAAAAGCATGACAATAAAAATGTTCGATGTAAAATTTAACGTTGTTATTACAAAAATATAATTTTAAGTTTAGTGTTTTACTTCACAGCGAGGCAGCAGTGGAAAGCGAACTGGGCTCCGGCTCTGATAGCGTTCTGAAAACCGATTCAGATGAAGACTTTGATTAGTTACTGAAAATTAAAATAAATAATAGATCGCTAGAGGCATATTAGGATAAAGCGAGATTACATTAAAACTACATCCTTATTTTTATTTATTTATTTTCGAGCCTTGATTTTATAAGTCGAGTGCATTTTGTTCGCATCCCTCATTAGCAACGAATTATATTGGACCATAATATTTTATTGAACCGCTTAATCACTAAAAGTCTGTAACAAAATAGACGTGGCGTGAGCTATTAACTTGCACTTACGAGTTTTTAATACTAAAATTATAAGCTGCAAGGTTCAAGTTTTTTTTTTGTTGATAAATTAGTAATGAAATTAGTTTTACTCATTAAAATTGTTATAGAATAAATAAAAATTTTGGTTGGGCTGTTTTTCGCATATTCGCAATATTTAAAGAACTTTAAATTCTAGTTGTAGAAGATTATCACTAATTGTCTATGTCCAATATGGCCTATACTTTATATACTTTAAAAATATATTAAACTATTAGAAACAATATTTTTTCTAATACAAATACGACAATAAGACGTTAGGAACATTCTCAGAGATATTGTATTGAGTGTGTTCGTCCACTCTAATGTATGTACCTATGGGATTTAGTTTGTACCGATTTTTTTACTGTCCCGAAACTGTGTTGTGGAAAGATTTATTCTATTGTCATATAACGTAAATTGTATGTCGTTTGAGATCTCATTTGAATTTTAATAAAATGTTTGTTTTTCATTGTAGTTTTGTTTTTAATTTAAAGTGTGTATGCGTGAGCCCACGACCAAATTAAAAGGAAAGTTTGTTCTATCCTCAAAAAACAAAATAAAATTATGGTTAACATTGAACCAAACAAAACGTGGCAGTCTTTCCACGTGGACTTAGGTGGTAGTAATCTTTGTCATGCTAATGAATTCTAGCATTTGAATTGCGGACTAAGAGATTTGATTTTTGACACCAATTGTTGCCTAAAATGTACGGTAATGTAATGAATTTATTTAAAAAGAGGATTTGTTTCATTTGGTCGTGCTTACCATCGAGGCCACTCTTTATCTTAACAATTGTCAAAAGAAAAGCGAAACGGGTTTTATACTCGGAACTGAAAAATTCCAAGACGCCAGATGCCAATACTTCCGTTTTAAGGATGTCCCAAAGCGTCACTGAAGCAGCAATCTATCATGAAGTAGGTATTGGAAACTTAAAAAAAATCTATTTATATAAATAAATATTAAATAAATAAATATTTACTAACAATCACGCCACGTTAACTAGTCCCGTGATAAGTTCGTAAAGAACTTGTGTTACAGGTACCAGATAACGGAAATAAATGTAAGATTTTTATTATACACATACATATATTTAATATACATCCATAACCCTGGAAAAGACATTTATATTTATCATACAAATATCTTTCCTTGGCGGGATTCGAACCCGCGACCCCCTTGTGTAGTGACCATGTCACTTACCACTACACCAGACGGTCGTTTACAATCCGTATACAATCCGCGAAGTCGTAGAATAATAAAAAACTCATCGTATAATCATGAAAATCCATATATTATTTCAAAACTCAATATTGTCTATATAACAATCTAATTAATCACATGTTAAAACTAATACTAACATAAATATGTATTTACTCAAAATACAAAGGAAATTTGTTAAACTTTTATAATTATTGTAACACAAAGAATTAACACATTTGAGTTTCGCTTTCACTATCATTTCAACGACGCAACAGTGTCATTCGTATAGGTAATAGTGTTGGTCATTGGCAATCAGGGACTCAAGGATTTATCTCCTTGCAAACGCTTGGCAGCTTGGATGATAACTACAATACGGAAACTTCATTTTTGCATACTTAAAATTACATTGTAGAAAATAACGACATCCACAAAACGGTCCGTAATTAAAGAACTTTAAAAAAATTATGATTGTTCATTACACTGACCCTAAATTCAGCGAAACACTTTCATAGTCAATGATCGATGATCCTAATTTCTAGTCCTAATTTTCGTGATTAAATTTTTGATTCACAACATAGTTCACAGATAGACTATACATACTTTTGGAAAATAAAATAGTTTTTGATTGAGACGAAACTTCATATGAGAAAATTATTGAGTCGTAGTTTTATAGTTAGGTGTTTAATGATTTTGAAATTCCCGCCAAAAATATTAAAAGCCACCAACCAATTACTTCCATGGTGAAGGAATAACACCGTTTAATAAAAATTAATCCCGCAAAATTATAATTTGCGTAATTACTGGTGGTAGGACCTCTTGTGAATCCGCACGGGTAGATACCACCACCACCCTGTCTATTTCAGCCGTAAAGCAGTAATGCGTTTCGGTTTGAAGGGTGGGGCAGCCGTTGTAGCTATACAGAGACCTTAGAACTCATATCTCTAAGAGGTGGATGGTGGCATTTACGTTATAGATGTCTATGGGCTCCGGTAACCACTTAATATCAGGTGAGCTGTGAGCTCGTACGCCCATCAATGCAATAAAAAATAATAAAAAAAAAGCAAAGACAAAATTGTTTTAACGCCATTTGGCAGAATATATATAACAATAGGTGAAAGATACGTCCAATGTTATAGCTGGAAAACGCAAGACGTCATATAATCATATTATGTAGCCAATACTTTATGTAATTTTTTTTCATGTAATTATTATAACTAAAAAAAATTATGATGAATTTTCAAGTTTATCTCATCTCTCCTACTGTAATTATAATGTGGTCTTCAAAGCAAAGTTAGTGCGTTGTTAAGATTATATATGCACAACTATTAATTAATACCAGAAGGATTTATATAACTTGTCTTTTAGCTAGCATTCGTAAGAAATTTTTAAATGAACGCAATAAAAGAGAAATTACGCTGTAAAATTTATTTTTCGAAACAGCATATAAATGCCTGTAAAAATCATAAATTATAACGCGCAGTTGCGTCTGAGATTTATTGGGCGGATTCATAGCTCCGATGTTTCTTAGAGTTAAGGCCCCATTTGAAATATACTCATGCTATTTTCGCGGTCGTCATTTTACCAGATTTATAAAGGTGACTAAAGTACTATATCTTAATTTTTAGGTATCCCAAGATTTTATTTAAGGGCTACTTTGATAAAAACAAAAGAAGTTTTTATAAGAAATGAATTAGCAGGAGTCGAAACGGACTCCAAGCCGAAGAGCTGCATTTGTCAATCACTCGACGTATAGTGAATTGAACGAATACAGTACTAAGTCTATTTCCGCTTTAGAAATCTAACCGTTGAGAAAGAGAAAGTCGAATCTGCGTTTATTATTATCAAAAAACATATTATTATCTTCTAAGAACGATAAGATTTTATTTCGTGATAATAACTGGGAAACAAAGATTAATTTTTATAACCTCATCAACCACAATCGATCTAAAATTAACTTATGACATCTGTAATCGAAATAACTATCTTCCCTGGCGAAAGAAATCGCGATTGTGATTTGTGACTCAGTTTTCTTAATCATAGATTGTGAATAAAATAATAAGTTTGTATTCGTAGCATATGTAATTAAATTCAACAAACAATAAATCTTTTGTTATATGTATTTACTATTATAAACTATATAAAAAACAATACTGTATATAAATTTAATATTATTATTTTTACGAAAATCATAATATTATCTCCTTTGTTCTGTGTTATCTTACCAACTAAAATAACGAAGCGAAAGAAGAAATACAGAAGAAAAAAAAAAACTTGAGCATCAAAATTATAGCAACAAACTACTTATCACATGTTCAATCATTACAATGTGTACATTTTATAGGAAGACCAATATGTCAATAAACAACACGAGATTAGATTACTTTTTCAATTTGTACATTTAAAATTGTAATGGATTTAATGTATTATGGGTTTCTTATTGCAACATTTTCTATACAGTTTACAATTGAGACATAGACCTCATGTCTCAAGGTGGGTGGCGGCATTCACATTGTGATATCTGTGGGATACCGATAACCACTTAATACCAGAGGCTATGAGCTCATTCACGCATATATGCAATAAAATTATATTAGAATAAAAAACTATACATACGTACTTGAGTGATTTTTGAAAAACCATATCCAACCTTTGCTTCCTTAGCCGCGATATACACAAAACATATATACAGGGCGTAAAATTAAAAATTAAATTTTAAGCGCAGTAGTTCCGTCATTAATAATTTTCTTTTATTAGAGATAGGTGAATGAACTCATTATTCACCCGGACATCACAATGTTAAAACCGTCATCCACCGTGAGAAATGAGGTCGACGTATCAACATATTGTTTTAATTACGATTTTCGTTACCAAGAATCATCAATGGTGCCATCTATTATCGTATTCAAGAACCATTCCTAAACACCCTGTATACTATGGACTTAATGAAATTAAACAAAAATAAATACAGAAATGTAACAAAATAATTGAAGCAATTTCAGATCAATAATATATCATCATTATAATTAAACAAATAATCTCCTTTGCATTAATTAACTATCGATATGGAACCAGCATGGTCGATTTTACTGCTGTGTTCTGTAATGGTGGATTAGATAGTCAAGGCTAATAACATTACAATTATTTTTATATTTCAGGATAATTTGTTCTAATCTTAGTATGTTAACTATAATGTATTAATATATATAGAAAAAGCTTAATGGAACAAATGCAACAAAAAAATCTATAATATTATAAATACCTATATTTTAAATTGAACAACACTACAGTGTGATTAAATCATTTCTCCGTTTCTCTTATGCAAAATTAAATAACATGTCAAAATCATATTGCGCACTTGCATAATGCGATTTTAAATGTTTTCCATTTTAAAGAAATCATCGAAAAAAGAGCACTTAAATCTATGTCTTTGTAGTATTCTTGTTATGATTAAAAATCAATATTAGCTAGTTAGAAAAACAGTGAGGCACCCAAATTAAAACATCCAAATATCTTTTAATTATTTTAAGATGGCGCATGTTAAAGTCAACTTTTATTTTATTGTTTTAGGACGGAAATACAGAATTACGTTCTATTTAATACATGTATAATTTTATTTCTTACAAGCAATTTGGGTGCTTATTTATTTTACATTAAATATTATATTGTTACGTACGTTCGTAAATTATGAACGTACAATTACTCTTTCCAGAGTTCTGAAGAGGTCTCTTACATTAATAGGAATTGACACTTTGAAAATCGTTTGTACAGAAATTTGCGTATAGTTAAAAGACACGTCGGCACAAAAAGGTGGGATCTTAACTAACATTCTTACGTTACTTTTTGTACAAAAATAGAGGAATCTTCGATCGATAAAACCATGTCATTATTTTAAATTTTTATTATATATTATATTTTTTTGTAACGAACACTGGGACAAACCTTGTCAGGGGAAGAGAACCTCGTACAGAATATTACACACGACCCGATCCAGTTATGGTCGAAAGATCTTAAGAGGATACTTTTTTATTGACATCCAAAGCAGATCTTAAACGATTACTGTTATCCATGGATTACCAAGGTCACAAACAAAGGCACCGCCTTTGCTTAATTTATATCTATTACTTTTTATCTTGAATTATATATCCACGAAATTCTCACGTTGTATTGCTGTAAGTTCGAAGTCTGGTCAATCATGTGAACGATGAGGATCTAATGACGTCATTGTGCAGACTTCTTGAGGGGGGGCCCGCGCGGAAGTCTTTTTAGTCTCCGCCTGATTGATCTTTTCTATATATGATGGCTAAAAACCATCAATTCTTCTAAAATGGGTCAATTTTGTTAGTTTATTGCCGTAGGTTCGAAGTCTGGTCGATCGCGTGAACGTTGAGGATCTAATGACGTCATTGTGCAGACTTTTTGAGGGGGGGCGCGCGCGGAAGTCTTTTTAGTTTCCGCCTGATTGATCTTTCGATATATGATCGCTAAAAACCATCAATTCTTCTAAAGTAGGTCAATTTTGTTAGTTTATTGCCGTAGGTTCGAAGTTTGTTCGATCGTGTGAACGATGAGGATCTAATGACGTCATTGTGCAGACTTCTTGAGCGGCGGCGCGCGCGGAAGTCTTTTTAGTTTCCGCCTGATTGATCTTTCGATATATGATCGCTAAAAACCATCAATTCTTCTAAAGTAGGTCAATTTTGTTAGTTTATTGCCGTAGGTTCGAAGTTTGTTCGATCGTGTGAACGATGAGGATCTAATGACGTCATTGTGCAGACTTCTTGAGCGGCGGCGCGCGCGGGTGTCTGCGCGGCGGCTGTCTGCGTTGCCGGTCCAGGAAGGAGTGGCCCGCGGACAGCAGCGCCAGCCTGGTCTCCACGGCGTCGCGGTGGCAGCGCGCGCCCAGCTGGTACCAGGCCGACGTCACGAGGCGCTGCTCGCTGTCGCGGGCCGTCTCCGCGCCGCTGCCGCCCCACCTTGATTTAATCATTACTAGTTGAAATACGACTATCTATATGTTAATACGTGAAGCAAAAACTTTGTACGCCTTTTTACGAAAATTATGCGGACTGAGGAGTATCAAATTTCTCACGCTTATAGAGAATATAGAGAAGGAGTGCACAATGCTAATATTTTTTTTATTTGCATTACATAATAATGCATTAAATCAATTATAAGTTTGAACATTATTAAGGGTCTATTGTCAGACTATCATATACCTATAAAATAAATAATATTGAAGACAAAATATTAATCTATTCTCAATTAGACCACAGACTTTAACAATAAACAAGATTATTTATGCCTGTTTGTGTCAAATACATATGTGTGTAATATATTTTTTAATTGATTTAATGTATTTTATATGCATAGTAAAAAAAAATTAGCCTTCTGCACTCCGTTATTTGAGAGCGGTCGTCACTTTTATTACTATGGACAACATATGGTTGCCGATGGGATACTAAAATATTAATTGTAACGCAAAATTGAGCTTTAGAAAGATCAAACCAACTCACTCGTGTCTGTTGTTGTTTGTGGCCGTGGGGTCCGGCCGTGACGCATTAGCGGCGCCGGCGTTACCTTGTGTCGGGTCAGATATTGACTGTTGACCTGAGAAATCATCTAAATTATAATTCTGAAAGAGTTTATTTATTTAGTTGCATCAACAAAGTGATCATCAATACAAAATATTGATAAATCGACAATAAGTACATGACATGACAGTGATGTTACCTCAATTATAGGTGCAATCGACAGTGCAATAGTTGACAACATCATGATATTAGAATAGTCAAAATACAATGGACAATGTTATAGTAGGAATGATATAGGTTTGCCTATACAATGCAAATTATTGAGAGATCAAAGTACATATCTTAGGACGGATTAGGTGATATTTACGTTGTGAGCCCAACAAACAAAAACGCAATAAAATAAAAATAAAAAAATCTAGTCTGTGATTAGGAATTGCTTTACTGGTGGTAGGACCCTTTGTGAGTCCGCACGGGTAGGTACCACCACAACCCTGCCTATTTCTGCCGTGAAGCAATAATGCTTTTCAGTTTGAAGGGTGAGCAGCCGTTGTAACTATACTGAGACCTCAGAACTAATATCTCAAGGTGTGTGGCGCATTTACGTTGTAGATGTCTATGGGCTCCAGTAACCACTTAACACCAGGTGGGCTGTGAGCTCGTCCACACATCTAAGCCATAAAAAAAATTGCCTAACGATTGTCCCAACAAAGCGTGGCCAAGTTTAATTAATAAAACTCTTTTTCTAGTCATTTGACCAAGCGTCTAAAATATCTTTAAACTGTTGAGAAATTCACCTGTAGTTTTCGGGTCGAGAGTCCTGATGACTTCCTTGGCCTTCTCGACGTACTTCTTGTACTTGTCCTCGAGCGCCAGCAGGTCCGCGTCTCGCGCGGCGACGTCCTCCTGCAGCTTGGCGGAGCGACGCCTCTCTTCGCTCAGAGCGTTCTGGAGCTCTTCGACTTGGAGAGCTTTCAGTTAAAATTGCAATTAAGAACTCGGCTAACTTCGTGCTACGACAGAGCCTAGCCGATGGAGGCGCGTAGTCGCCATTACACACTTACCAATCAGCCTTCTTGAAGAGCGGTGCCTCCGGCCTAAGAACTGTTGTTCGTTTTCGTTTGCTAACGTCAAGAGAAGATTTCTAAATTGTCCAAAGACAATAAACGTGATTGGTGTACTTAGATCGATCACCCTATTCGCCCCTATAATGTCTGACGATGGTGTTAATAACTATGGCTTCTCCGACATATCGATAAAACTCTTTGACAGTCGTTTTACTGGTGGTAGCACCTCTTGTGAGTCCGCGCGGGTAGGTACCATCACCCCGCCTATTTCCGCCGTGAAGCAATAATGCGTTTTGGTTTAAAGGGGGGGGGGGGGGGGGCAGCCGTTGTAACTATACTGAGACCTTAGAACTCATATCTCAAGCTCAACTCATACAAGCTCCAGTAACCACTTAACACCAGGTGGGCTGTGAGCTCGTCCACCCATCGAAGAAAGTCCCCAAATAAAATAAAAATTTACATTTTCTCTGGTTGTCCTCTATGGCAGAGGCAAGTCTAGGATGAGGAGCTTCGAGCGTGGCCTCGAGCTGCATGATCCGCTGGCTCGCCTCGCGGTTCTCGGCTCGTTGCTTCTCGAGTCGAGCCCTGTAGTCCTCGATTAGAGCCTGCATATTTTATAAGCAAAAAATTAAATGAACGTACTTACTAACAAAAAACAATTGAAGCACAGTATGTAATTATCGCATTAATAAAAACTAAAAGCACAACCAATGGATTTGATTCGTAAAATATCCTAATGAAATCCTATTAAATAATCTAAAATACACACAAGAAATTTTTTTTATTTATCTATAAAGAATTATTTCTGGCAATCACTAACAATGTATTTACAGAAAAACCTTTTTTTATGCTTGTGGACTCACTAGAGGTCCTACCACCAGTAATTACGCAAAATATAATTTGCGGGTTTGATTTTTATTACACGATGTTATTCCTTCGCCGTTGAAGTCAATCGTGAACATTTATAAAAATTGGTACCCGTCTACGGGATTCGAACATCGTTGCATTACTAGATACGAATGCACCGGACGTCTTATTCTTTGGGCCACGACGACTTCAAATGTTGTCTTAATATTGTACAGAAAACGCAATTAAGTCTTTTATTATTGTTTAAACACTTACAGAATATTCCATATCATTACAAAACAAAAAAAAAGTGCAACATTTTAAATATTTTATTTTATTGTATAAAGTGAAGAGATATGAAGAAGTTACGATTTACATTTACAATGTGAGTTATTATTAATTATTATAATTAACTACCTTTTGCACGCGACTCCGTCCGTGTGGAATAGTCACTTTGGCATAACGCTAAACTTTGGGGAGGGGGGGCCACTTCATTTACGTAGAAAGTGAAAATATTTTTGAATTATAGAATGTTACGGATAAAGCCATTTAAACCCCTATTTTGAAACATTCTTTATTGGTGCTCCACTTGTATTGGTGTTAGCGTGATATTATAGCCTATAGCCTTCCTCAATAAATGGGCTATCTAACACTGAAATAATTTTTCAAATCGGACCTGTAGTTCCTGAGATTAACGCGTTCAAACGAACAAACTCTTCAGCTTTATAATCTAATATATAAAATTCTCGTGTCACAATGTTCGTTCCCATACTCCTCCGAAACCGCTTGACCGATTCTCATGAATTTTTTTATGCATATTCAATAAGCCTGAGAATCGGCTACTATCTATTTTTTATACCTCTAAGTGATTAGGGTTGTCCACCCCTAACATTTTTTTTTTATTTGGACTTTTTTTTTTGTTATAATGAGGTATTATGTGGTTAAATGAGGTTTTGATATTTTTATTATATATTCCCTCATCGTTCGCAGCACTACATACCTCTTTCAGTCATTTACCACATCCTTACACACTTACAATAAGTTAGTTTTTTTTTTATACACTAGAAATTCCCTAGAAATCTTATATATGGCAAAACAATGTTTGCCGGGTCAGCTAGTATTAGTATAGAAGTATAGATTATATTGTTTGTTACCTCGTCGAACGGTGCGCTTTGGTTCTGCCGCAACAGTTTGTTTTCATGCTCCAGCCTGATCAAGCGCTCTTTGACGTCATTCGGCATTAGCTCCCTTGAGACATTGTCTTTACTTGCGTCTATTAAGAATAAAATTTATTGATGTACTATAAACTAATATTATATATATACAGGGTGTCCCAAAATTCAACGATAAGCCAGTACCGGTGTATGGTGGGGTCAATAATATACTCTTAAGTATATTGTCGAATCATCGAGTATCAATAATGACACTTAAAAACGGACAAGAAACAGGGTTCATCGATTTGTAGGATTAGGAGTAGTCTACCCCTAACAATGGCGCTTGCAACACACCGAAATATCTAGAACTCATGAAATATAAAAATCGTTGTAACAACCCGTCAGATAAGAATTTATAATGTAGATAACCGCTACAGTTTAAAGCAATACCGTCTTGATTCTGCAAGCGTTGGTGAAGTTATAAAAAAACTGCCAGTGTGTAAATTTATCCGGATCCATAGAACAATACACGTTTCATTCGAATTACCGGTCATCGTATCATGGTTTTTAGTTTGTAGGTCAGAGACAGCCAGTATTGCATGATCTATCTGCTACATAAACGTAAACCCAACGAACCTTTTTTTTATCCTACCTAAGCTGAGAGCCTTGAGAGGTTATTTCAGCGTAACCTTAACTAGTAGGTGAGCTCGCGGGGCTCAAACCGGACGACGTTGCTAACACGAACCCTGGCAAGAGCAGTGCTTCGCAGAATCAACCACCGGATCGGAAACGCGACCCACTGAGAAGATCCGGCGAGAAACTCAGTGGGCTGTGTCAGAGGGTTAATTTACTCGTCGAACCCTTTTCGTTCGGTTCGACGAGAACGATGGCCGGTGCCTGAGGTACCTAAAAGCACCGTTAGTGGATCGGGAGGATCCGAAATGACGTGTAGTAACGAACCCGTGGTCATTGTGGAGCACCGCAGTTCGTCGACAGTCTCACGGAGCATACTCTTTTCCTCAACGAGCGCGTCCCTCTCCCTCTGCAGGGAGGCAGCGCGACTACTCAACTTCTTGTTTTCAATCTCCAATTTATCGGCTTTCGTTATTTCCGCGTCTAATTTTTCATTCAGATCCGTCACCTGCAAGTTTACGTGTCCAAATTATTACGTTATTTGACAACGGCAATAACAGAGGCAGCTACCTCGATTTATAATAGTGCTCACTCACAAAAAGTAAAGATTCTATAGGTCCACAAATGTTGTCAAGAATATAAGTGGATTATTGAAGTTATTAAGGGAAATCTGCTAATTGAATGTTTAACGCATCATTCATTAAACAAGTTTTCTCTTGCATCTCTATTAATCAATTGCATCTTAGAAACGACTATAACGTTTTCTCTAGATCATCTTTGGCTTACGAGGTGGTGTTAAAAAAAGTGTTTTCGTGTTTTTTTTTCACAGATAAAATCTTCATAAAATAAGGTTTGATCTTTTATATCATCTCGTAAGTCTCTGAGGTAGGTACTTATGTTATTGCTATTGAATGTTAGCAGAACAGTATCTCAATTTTTTACAAGATGGCGCTGTAATTTTTTTTATCTGTGCACTCTAAATTTTATTCGTGTATAAAATTTACGTGGACTTTTTGGCGGGAACGCGAGGAGTGAAGTTGTGTTTTATTTTGTCTATTTAGGGTTTGTTCAGGTTTAAATGTGTAATAACGGTCGTTTATTAACTGTTTAATATCTGTGAAAGTGCACAAATGTGGGAAAATGAAACAAAGCCGCTGGACGTTACAACTCGGGATCCTACAAAAAGTCCACTGAAAAAATCTCAGTAAATGACCACCATTTTACTGAGATTATATTTCATCCTATATCATCTCATCTCATCTCAGTTTCATCTCAGTTGATTAATATCTGAAATTAATCATCTTCATTTCATTTAATATCATTTCATTTTATTTCAATCCATATTAACATTTTTCATAAAAATAAGAATATAAATTATAATAAGACATGACTTAAAGGTCTTAGATACCAGGTCATAAAATCTCTTAAAAAAATAAAATTTAAATTATTTTTATAGATGTTACATATTTAAGAAAATTTTAAAATGTTCGGTCGCTCGGATTGTATTTGTTACGGAGGGGAAGTTATTACCTGTTTCTTGTAAATATCGAGTTGCACCCGCACTGCGTTCGCTCGCGCGGCCGCCTGCTCGTACTCTATGGTGCGTTGAACGTACTCTGTGTTGGCGTGCTCTAGTAACTTAACCTAAAAAATATTTTACCACATTTAGACATAAATACCTCCAAAGATCCAAACTCTTTTTAACCACTACTTGTAGCGGACGAATCTCGACAATTGAGGCGTAAAGTTGGATGTTATTCATTATTGTATACAGTAATACAGGGGGCCTTACACGGTAGATTGGTACCGCGTTATAAGATACGCGTTGTAGGAGCATTCTCGCATAAAGCCCTTGTGTGACCCCATATAACGCGTTTTGTACAAATATAATATAATTTAACCAATGTTTTTACGATTCAAAAACTAGGAACTCAAATTTAATACATAATTGAATTTTATAACAACACATTTATCTACATATACAAAAATCAGAAATTTCATAGTACAGAAATACATATAACGCGTGAAATTCCGGCGTTATATGAGGGAATACCCGTGTTATACGAGGGACTGAAATCGCGTAATAATAAAATGCATTATAAGGATACTGTGTTATAAGGAGGATTACTGTATTGGTATTTAAGGGTGTCTAAATTTATAATTAATACTTTTAATAAATTAATACTTTTAACAAATACACTTTTATTACCTGTTTTTTTAAATCAACATATTCCTCCATCCTCTTTTTATACGATGCCACTGTGGTCTCCAAGGCGACCGCCTTCGCCGCCGTCTCACGTAAAGCATCCACTTCGTCTTTCAGAGCCACGTTCTCTTGGGCCGCTATCTATAAATACACATTATTATACAAAATAAAACCATCAAAGCATTTTAAAATCGGAACTAACTACAAACAATGTAGACCGACTAAATACAATGCAAATGATTTTTTACGTATTTATATTAACAAAAAAAAACAAATTGACTTTCTACTTGAATAACTGTACACACAAGCGCGATTTCACTCAATGATCTTTATAAAACTACATACCTACATGTTAGCTAATCTAAAAATAAAAATATAGTAAAATTAAAATAAACTTAACATCGAAGGAGATAGAGTGAGTGACATTCTAATCTGAAAAGAAGTCGTTTATAAGAAGCGAATAGAGAAAGAAAAAACGATTCAATTGCCACATCATTTACTGGTGGTAGGACCACATGAGTCCGCGCGGGTAGGTACGGTGGTACCCCGCCTATTTTTGCCGTAAAGCAGTAATGCGTTTCGGTTTGAAGGGCGGGACACCCGTTGTAACTATACTTCAGACTTTAGAACTTATATCTCAAGGTGGGTGGAGCATTTACGTTGTAGTTGTCCATGGGCTCCAGTAACCACTTAATACCAGGTGGGCTGTGCGCTCGACCACACATCTGAGCAATAAAAAAAAAACATCAAAACGAAACGCACCTGTAGCTCCTCGTTGCGTAATTTTAAAATGGCCAACTCCCTTTCGAGGGCGTCGCTTCGTGCCCTCTGATCGTCTCTCTGCAGCTCGACTTTGTCCAGTTCGTCTTTAAGCGCGTCGAGCTGGGCCCGCATGTTGCTGTAGCGGAGGGTGCCGGCGTGGGCGGGCCCCAGGGACTCGCCGCCGTCGTCGAGGTCGACGTCGTCGGCGGCCGCGCTCGCAGCGTCTCGGGCTGCCGTCAGCCGCGCCACCTCGCTCAGAAGCGTCATCTTTTCCTCTTGAAGGATTTTTACCTGAAAAGAAAATATTGCTGTTATTGGGTAAGGAAATCGATAAAAGATATGATAGGATACGATAGAATTTGGATATGATAGGATTAGAATATGGTAAATATGATATAGGATATGATAGGATTTGGATATGATACGATTAAAATATGATAAATATGATGTGATAGGAATCGTATCGTATGTCGTATCACTCTTGTCAGAGCGGTAGTGGTCGTCATCCTGCGTCATTGTTGTGGGCAGATGTTATGCGCCTCACGAGTAATCGCAACTCCTCCCAGTTTGTGGTGAGCCTGGTACACTCATGCAAACAGCTGCCAACTGCCGACTTGATCTGGTCGGTCCATCGCACGGGCACCCTTCCACGTGATAGGAATAGGATATGATAAAGTTAAGATTATGATAGAACACCACGGAACCACGTTGTGTAGTTTTCTTGATTCGTGCCAACTATGATCGAGCATTTATTTAATGAGCACCGCCTTTAAATAAATGCCGCACACAAGCCTTTCGCATGGTTCGACTCACAAACCGCCATACCATCTCCCCCGTGAGATAGTGTCTGGCCATTTGGTCCCGGTCAAAGAAAATCGCCGGTAAAACTGCCTTACAAATATGTAACTTCTTAATTTAATAAATGTCTAATAACTACATTTACACTTTACATAATAATCAGATTGTAAAATACTTTAGGTACAAACAATATAAATTAAGGTTTCGTACTTCAATTAATGTAAATCGGAATGTGACCTCGCAATTCGATTTTAAATAGGTACAAAAGTATAAATATTTTACGCTGTAACAGAATTACTGTGAAAAATTATTGGTACAACGAAGAAATCAGTACAGCACCCTCATTATTGTCACATTCCGACCCTTCCGCAATCTTTCTAAAACATTTCTATGTCACTAAACTCAAAGCATGCGAACCTTAAATAATAATAAAAATAAAAACAAACCTGTGTATCCAACTCATGGCATCTTTGCGCCAAAATTTCTCTCATCTCAGCATCGGAATGTTCAATGCCTATGTCTTCTGAATGCAAACTCCCACGATTCGCTCCCAAAGTCAACGTCTCCAATTCCTTTCAATGTACAAACAACATCTAAACACAACACACAACTACGATACAATGTCGACACTATATTGTAACAGTATTATCAAACGTATTGTCACATCAAAGGAAACCCACCAGAGGTCACTGGTACTAGCCTCTTTCATTAAATTCGACGCGACGGCACTAGCACAATACAATTAAATTGCATAACCGACAATGAAAGGACCTAAGTTGGATTTAAAAAGGAAAGTCTCGTCACAACGTTAGAACGTAAACTGACAACAGTCTCGAACTCTTCACACGAAGCGTATCGTGATCCAAGGACATAAATGCGAGCGTAACTAACACACAATTTCTTTACCGCAATGGGTAATGAGCAAATCCAAAAACGACGTTAAGCAATTCAAAAGTATGTTTATTATAAAACATATTCGCCATTATGTACGTCATATTGCAACGACGCACTCCTGCAAACTAAGTGAGTTCAATGCATGAAAATAGCAGTCGAGTGAACTAAATTACACATTACATAAGAAAAGTGGGACTAATTGGTTACGGATGGATATAACAATAAATTATTTGAGAACGTTAAACTGAATTTAAGGCTGTGACGATACGTTTTCTATTATCATTCATCAAAAACTATACGCACGTGTAATTTTTTTTTAAATTTAAATGTAAGGCGATGTTGCACTTATAACCAGACAAATGCTAGTACAAATGTTAGACAATTATGACATACAATCGAAATGAATCATAAGTAATATTTGTTTACACATATTGCAGTCTGTGCGCATATAAAACTGCGAATGCACACAAGGTCGAACGCAATTATAAAACGCAAAGTTGCCGAAATAAAATTACCATTTTTTTTTAATTTATTAGTCCATAAAACATCTGTTTCGTCTAAAGAATATTAATTAGAGTTCATAACGAATATCAAGAGTCACGTCGGTATGAAACTCAAAATATAATATTTGTTTTAAGTAAGGTCTTTCTTGTTTTCTTGTTATTTAGATCCATAGATTCAGTTGGATGATAATACCATTTGATAAATATTTAAATATGGAGCCCGAAGGCAGCATTTTGCTTAAAGCTTTTGAATATACAGCGGCGAGTCCAAATACTATGTCCGATACTCAGTATATCCAATGTGGGTTGGCTCAATTCAAGAAATCACATTTTTTATTGGAAAAAAATGTTCAAATGTTGAAAGTTCACACATTTTTCCTTTTTAATTACTTCTGAACAGACGAGATTATGGCCCACCTGGTGATAAACGCCTATCGAAGGTATGGTAACGCAGTCTGATGGAGCGATGATTTTAGTTAGACGCGTGAAGGTTTTGAAAATAATTTAATAAATTTGTCACTTTAATTTATATAAAACTGAACAAAAACTACCTATAACTTCAAGAGAAAATTGAATATTCTTCATTTTATTTTATAAATATACCTTTCTATTTAATATTTATTTTTGTAGCACATGAGATTATTTTATGTGTATAATAATATACATAATTTAGAAATTATTTTCATTATTCCTCTGAATTTGACTATGGAGAACCTAAACAAAAAGGACTGTTTATTTTTTTATTTAGGATTAACTAACCTAACCTTTATTCGGTTAATAACCGATTGAGATAAAGCGTGCCGAGCGTTAAGAAACCGTTCCGCGCATCAGTCTTCTCCCAAATCTTAATATGTACATTGCGTACAATAATAATTAAATATATATTTTTTATGTTGTCGTGCATGATTATTTAATTACCACCATGTTTTCGTTTTTGAGAACAATTGCAAAAAATTATATAAAAATTTACTATCATGTGATGATTGTAAATTTTTATTTCGGAAGCCATTACTAGTTTTTCATAATAATGGGTTAAAACTTCTATTAAATGAGTCGACTATTATCAAAGCCGGCAATGTGACTTTTGGATAATTATTGGTAAATCAGAAAAACGAATTATTTACTTTGTATTCCATTGGCAGTCACAAAACTCTTCTGAACGACATCTTAGATAAATAACAGGTTAAGTATTAACCTTTATTTAATGCAGGTTTTGAACCGTATTCTTTGAAGGAGACGATTATATTCAAATCAATCTGTATTGAAATATCAATAATTTTTTTTTGTCCAAATGCACAGATTGCCACCTTTGATAATTATAATAGACGACTCATATATTCATACATTAGAAATAAGCACGGGTGTTCTGAAATTGCCCCACCTAAGGAAGGCCGTTTACAGCTAAAATATATTTTTGTTTGAATGAATGTGTTTAAAGATGCCATTTGATTTCATATAAATAACCTACCTGTATAGCTTGCATTATAGATCTTTGACAAGATAACTCCATTTCCATTATTCTTGTTATGTACTCTTCCTTCTTAATACAGTTTACTGCACAACCTGAATTCAAAATAATTATATTGAAGTTATATGATTATAGATTACGTCAGTGGGTCTCAACCTTTTTACTCTTTATATACTCGTACATACTCTTTAGAAATTCGCGACACCCATTTACCTTTTTTTTATATTGAAGAGAACGTAAGAATTTGCACATTTATTACATTATACATCATTAACATATTAAACGCAGTCGTAAAGTTAACATCTAGTAAGCAGTGTGCTTAGTGCGAGTTTTTTAACGTTCTCGATAGCGTAAAAGTTAGCGCACATTTGTATGGAATGGGAACATTTACGTATGTATGCCGCTAGGGGCGCTGTTTCAACTACATACAAAATTGGCTTAACTTTTACGCTATCGAGAACGTTAAGAAACTCGCACTAAGGACACAGTTTTTGTGTACGCCTAACGAACGATACGACTATGCCGGTGTTTGAATCCCGCAGGCAAATACTACTGTTTCTAATAAAATACGTACTTAACAGATATTCACGAATTACCTCCACGATGAGGGAATAACATCGTGTAATAAAAATCAAAACCAATGTATAGTTTACCTAAATAATGGTGATGCTCTTGTGAGCGCGGTAGGGACCACCACCCCTATCTAATTCTACCGCAAAGTAATAATACGTTTCGGTTCAAAGCATGGGGCAGCGGTTGTATTGTAAAACTAAGGTTGAGAACATATGTCTCAGGGTGAGTGGCGGCAATTACGTCCTTGATGTCGATGGGCTCCAGTAACCATTTAACAATAGATGGGCCGTGAGCTCATTCTCCCATATAAATAAAAAAACAAGTAAATAAATAAAAATATCGCATTTGTTAATCTCGCGACAGATTTGACAGAGGCTTGCGACACATCAATATTTCGCGACGCGGTGATTGAGAGCCACTGGATTACTTAATCTAAACTCTTATTTCTACATAATCATTTAACTGCTTAATAGAAAGTTTACTTTAGGTCAGCACCAATCTTTCGAAATACAAACCCCTTTAAAAATGCGTGAGGAATTGTTCGTGTCAGATTACCAGTTTAAAAAAGATCTAACATTAGCAAAAGGATTTTTTTCAAGGAATGTGTCCCGTCTGCGCGTAATTGGAATAGCGTCTTAGACTACGAACGACTTCTAGGACGTATCACTCTTGTCAGAGCGATCGTGGGCGTCAGTCAGTATCATTAGTGTGGGCAGATATTATACCCCTCACGCGCAATCGCCACTTATCCCGATTTGTGGGGACCCTGGTACACTCATGCAAATAACCGCCAACTGCCGACTTGACTTAGGTAGGAACGATTAAGTAGGGGATTTTTTTTTAATAATTTATAGAAAAAAAATCCTATAAAATTCATGCACAGTCGAACTAGAACTTAATTTTTCTACAGTTGCAAAATAATGTAAAAAGATATTTTTCTATGAAAATAACAATCAAGTCAGTGGCCTAACAATGATCTAATCTTGTATATATAATTTTAAAATGTAACAGAAAACCTAGCTGCCTCCTGCTTATTCTCTCTCTCTTGACAATACAATTGTTTGCTGTTTGACTGTGTACCTAAATTATTTTACATGCAACACAAAACCTATTATTCTCGCTCACCTGCTTTTCAATTGTAATGTAACAAACTATAGTTTTATTGAAAAAAACTGATGTGGCGTCTAAATTTATTGTTATTTTATAATTTGCTGTCACATTTTCTTATGAACAAATACAAAATCACAGTTTGTCAGATGGGGTACTTAATCCATATTTTTATTTAATACGAAATTCATTCAGAGAGTAGGCAAAGTTTTTGATAAAAATACTTACTTAAAACTAATTGTAGCAACCTTCTTAAGTCAGACGGGTCGGCTGTTTCAGCAATGTTGACTACATCAGGTCTTGGGAATTCTTGAAGACTCAAATTCAAAATGTCTTGATGGTAATCTAAAAGTTGTAAAATACAAATGCAATAGAATACATGCTATAACTTAAAAAGTTACTGAAATCTAATTTTTCTATTTATCTCTACTAATAAAAAAACTATCAGTCAATCTACATAGAAGATTTAGATTATGACTTGGGGGTTGTGGAGAATAGCATGTCTATCAACAATCTAGTATGTCTCCCAATTCACTTACTTATCCTTGGATGAGTGGGATGAGGTGGCCCACCTGGTTTTAAGTGGTTAACAGAGCCCATAGACATCTACAACGTAAATGCCTCTATACACCTTGACACATAAGTTCTAAGGTCTCAGTATAATACAACTACTGCCCCACCCTTCAAACCAAAATGAATTACTGCAGAAAGGTGATACCTACCTGTGCGGGCTCACAAGACCTACCACTAGTAAGAACTTTTAGTTAATTATCCCATTAATAACTTTCATTTTGTTATTTATGATGTTTCAAATACTTTACAGTTGTCATAGTCACAAATAGATTTGCAACTTTGCAACTAAAATAGATTTGTGCAGTATTGTTAGCTAGGAAATTATTTCTATAACAATATATTGCTATTATTACATTAACATTATTTATTTCCATCAATAGGTATGAAATACACAAGGGGCTATTAATGGAATACTAAAAAGCAGTTGACCTGCTTTCATTTCCTTACATAATAAAATGAATTTACATTAATTTATAGAGTCGTTTATTCTGTTATATTATTATAACTCACAGTACAGTACAGTATTGCTCACAGGAAAAAATTGTACACACTTAGTCAATGGGACTCCCTGGGAGTTTTTTCCTCAAACCTACCCTACCCCTATCCTACCCATCAAACAGTACAATTATGAAATATCCTCCCACTTGCTGTTCACACTAACACCTCTTTGTACACCTTTAAAAAATGGAAAAGGTACATTGTATTCCAGTTATTGTAATTCTGGTGTACATTTAAATACATTTTATCTGTCCATAAACTATCTATGTTTTTTATTCGTTTATTTAATAGTATTGATGAAAGCTAATATTAGTAGTTTGTTTTCTGATTTCGGTTCACTTTTTCCCCTTGGATGAGTTAGGCTTTGTGTATGCTGGTATTGCAATGTAAACAAATTATTAGTATAGGTTTTATGAATACATACTATCAGACTTACCAACAACACCCTCCAATATTTTCTTTAAATTACTAACTTTTAGTCTCCAGTTGTTTCCAACATCTGTCTTTATTTTTGTATTCCATGATGGAGTGAAATATTCAGGGGCTATCTGGGTCAAAGCTTCAGCTATTGCCACTCCATCTGAGAGTTCTATAATTCACGATTCGAATTTAATATAGCTAGTATATTAGAAGTAGTATTTTATCAACAAATAATGAAAGTGAGTGGGCAAAAATCCTTGCACTTTCTAGGCTACTGAGTTAATAGATTTTCAAAACTAATTTCGAAACTATCCATTAGGTGGAAGTCGAATTACTGGATTTTGATTCTGTGTTTCGAATGAAAAACCTTGTTTTGAAAGATATACAGACTTAGAAACGTATCCATAATATTTTTACCCATTGGATTTCCATGTTTGGCCNTAATGAAAGTGAGTGGGCAAAAATCCTTGCACTTTCTAGGCTACTGAGTTAATAGATTTTCAAAACTAATTTCGAAACTATCCATTAGGTGGAAGTCGAATTACTGGATTTTGATTCTGTGTTTCGAATGAAAAACCTTGTTTTGAAAGATATACAGACTTAGAAACGTATCCATAATATTTTTACCCATTGGATTTCCATGTTTGGCCTTAAGATTTAGCGTTTGTAGCCAATTGATTAGATTGTCACACAATACTGCACCATTCCCTTCCATTGTATTTAATTAAAATATATGAAATAGTCAAATAGTAAGCTTTACACAGATCAATCTAATTTATTTGTTTTTACACATTGTAGGTAGATATATAGTGTAACAATAAAATAAATAGAAAATAAATATTTCAGTGTGTTGATTAATTGTTCATGAAATATGACGTTTAATCAAATGTTACAACTTGTCACTCTTGTCATTTGGATGAATAAAGTAGGTAAACGTTTACAGCTCATGCTGACAACTTTTAGGCAAATTACGCGTTACAGCTTACTTACCAGTCACTATTCCGGTGTTTGTTAGCGGTGGTAGAATCCTGGAGATTTTAACTTTAAATATACCGTATTATGTAGGCTTAAACAAAAGAATAAACATTATTAATATTATTATTTTTATTGCTTAGGTGGGTGGGCGAGCTCACGGCCCTATAACCTTCAGACACAGCCCACTGAGTTTCTCACCGGATCTTCTCGGTGGGTCGCGTTTCCGATCCGGTGGTAGATTCTGCGAAGCACGGCTCTTGCTAGGGTTCGTGTTAGCAACCTCGTCAGGTTTGCGCCTCGTGAGCTCACCTACTAGTTAAGGTTACGCTGATATAGCCTCTCAAGGCTCTCAGCTTAGGAAGGAAGAAAAAAAAAACACGGCCCCCCTGCTGTTAAGTGACTGGAGCCCATAGACACCTACAACGCAAATGCCACCACCCACCTTGAGATATGAGTTTTTAAGGTCTTAGTATAGTTACAACGGCTGCCCCACCCTTCAAACCGAAACACATTACTGCTTCACGGCAGAAATAGGTCGTGGTACCTAACCGTGCGGACTCAAAAGATGTCCTACTTACCACCAGTAAACTAGACGAATGCAGTGTTTTCAAATAGTGGGAATTAACTCTGCTCCGGGGACGGACGGTGCGATGGTAAAAACGCAATGAAGGGGTCATCACGAACATACATACATACAGTTTTAACAGTACAACGGCTGCCCTACCCTTCAAACCGAAACGCATTACTGCTTCACGGCAGAAATAGGCGGAGTGGTGGTATCTACCCGTGCGGACTCGGATGACCTACCACCAGTAATTACGCAAATTATAATTTTGCGGGTATGATTTTTATAACACGATGATATTCCTTCATCGTGGAAGTCAATCGTGATTATTTCGATGGTACGTATTTCATCAGAAAATTTTATACCTGCCCGCGGGATTCGAACACTGATGCACCGCCTAATACGATTGCACCGGGCGTCTTATCCTTTAGACCACGACGTCTTCGAATATTCATTATTATATTCATAATATTCGTTATTATATATAACCTAAGATAAGTATTCCATATTTTATGACAAAAAACTGACCATTTTAAAGATAAATTAAATTTATGTACCAGCGCTGGATTTACATATTAAAAAATATTTTATCTTACTCTTATTTTAATACACAGGCTCCTTCTTCTTTATTATCCTCCTTACCAATAACATTAGGGCCAGAGGCAGAGTGACAGTGAGGCATTGGCTACTCTTATTGTATGCTTATTCAGCTTATTGCAGAAAAATCCCAATCGCGGTGAGTGAAGGCGGCTTATATCAGAGTCCTCGGCGATATCATATTTTCAAAGGATACTGGGTTGGATACCTACTGGAATCCTTTTATTATTATGTATTGTACTTATTAGATCCGCGAATAAAGACATTTTTAGTCGCGAAGAATTGGGTCGCATTTTTTTAATCCGCCAATAGTAAAAACGCGTATGAAGGAAGCCGGATTACGGAGTTTTTACTGTATATACACAAAGATCTTCAAGTACATGCTACATCTACCAATTGACTAAATTGTTTTATTGTTGTAATTTAAATTAGTCAGATTTAAAAAAATACGGGTACAAAAACAAATCATGTACAGTTTACTTGGATTTTATGTTCGTGTCTTCATTACCTACCTACATTCTGTAATTCGTTTTTGACCTTTGTAAAATTATAAAGGCTACAATAAAAATGCAAAAAATAAAAGGCGTTTTTACTATTATATACCTATTTATTTCGTAAATTGTTCTTTACAATATGAGGTAAATCACACCCAATGTATTTATCATTTTGAACTGTGCTATTTATTACTTGGATCCATAATGGATCAACACACAAAAGATGAGGGTCACAAAACAAAATGACCGCCACTTGAGCTCTCGTAAGAGCAACATTTAACCTTTTCGCACTTCTTACAAAGCCCAATGAATTTTTTTGGTCTTCTTGTAAATGCGATTCCGAAGATCTCACAGTTGATATTAAAATAATAGGTCTCTCTTGCCCTTGAAACTCTTCCACGGTTCCTATTTTAGGCTGCGGTAATCCCATCGCGTCAAATAACAGGCGTATACATTTAATCTGAAATCACAGTTTTATCATGTTAAGATTAATTAAACTATTATACGCCAGACTGCTAGCGGTCATCATACTGGAAATAAATAAAATGTCAGATTATTAATTTAGAGTAAATTTATGAATAGAAAATATATCGAAATGATCACTCATACAGCTTACTTATTACAATGCAATAGGTACGTACTTGTGCTATGTAAGGTGTTATTATCCCAAGATCGTCAGGTTTAACATCTTTTTTATATAGTTTGCAGACGGTCAGTGCCACCATTGAAGCTTCTTGTGGGTTGTACCATGATGGACTGTCTTCAGCTCTAGCGTTACAACCTCTGATGCCATACATGAATATACCTCCCGTTTCAGAATCCGCTGTTTGAAATATTTCCGAAACGACTTTCAGTAGTTTCGTTACCCATGGTGAAGTTCTGTCAAGTTTAGCAACTAAAGAAGCTTCATAAAACATAGCACTTGGCAACTGCAAAACTTCTTGTAATGATCTATAGTTGTGATTTAATTTTGTCACAAGTCTCGGATTAAATCCATCTGTTAAATTATAAGCGTCGTAATCTTTTTGGTACGGAAACATTTCCAGAATTCTAGATAAATATGACTCATCTAAGCCCAGTTCTTTGCAATATTTCGACAAAATAACTGGGCCAAGCTGCTTTGGATCGCCGGCTAGAATTATTTGACTACTTTCTTTATCTGCTAGTATTAGAGGAATCATAACTTCTGGTTCCGTAGCCTGACCTGCTTCGTCAACCACAATGTGTGTGAAATGTCCCTTTGGTAAATTTAGCTGTATCAACCCACTGAGACAGTAGCAAGTGCCAATAGTGACACGATGTCTGCCAATAAACGAAGTGCCTCTCGAATTTGTTCCTGATTCTATTTGTCTTCGTTTAGTATTTTCTGCTGATAAATCTAAAGTTGAGCAAAAAGGCTTTATTGATTCTGGAAGATTATCAGAATTTACGAGGTGATGTGCTATCAACCTCAAAATTGAATCCGAAAACATTTCTCTGTATTCAATAACTTTTTCAGTGATGAGGTTAGCGGCACTATTAGAAGGAGTGGCTACTAGAATTCTGCTATCAGGAAACTGTGTCAATATTTGTAGAATTAATTCTGTTACAGTAACAGTTTTTCCAGTTCCTGGAGGTCCATATATGCAGTATGGTAGCGGACGACATTCTCCCTGAAGGATGTTTAAAACGGCAGACTTTTGGTAATCATTCAAATTTTTCTTGAACCATTTGATTGTACTTAGCCTTTTTTGACTAAGCAGACATGAATGAGTAGAAACACGAGAAGGAAATAATACATCAGGACCCAATTTGGTAATTGCGAAATTTATTGTTTGGTGGGCCCTTCTAAACATTGTCCTACTAAAATGAAATTCTATGGACACATCACTCCCTGTATATGATTCATGAAATTTTTGATGAAATTTCATAAGGACTACATCTCCTTTAATGATATGTATGAAACCTTCATAGGCAGGTGCATTGCTATCCCAGATGTCTTTGACTATTGCTTTATCCCCAAGCATTAAACTTGGTCTTTTTTCTGATAATTCTTTTATTTCAACACCAAGATATTCTTGACACCTTATCAAAAAGACTTTGGACAAATCATACACTCGCATGTTTATATTCTGTTGTATCTCTTCCATATAGAGTAATGTATGCCATCTATCTGTATAATTATTAATATTCAAAGGCTGTAAAAGGCAAGGCAGAAAACTTATAATTCTGTTTATAATCTGATCAAAGTCTGGACTATATGCTGCTTGTTCGGAATCTCCTAGTACTGCCGCCCATACTTTAGATGGAATAGCAAATGCGCCAAGTCGAACTGCCATAAAATTAGGAGGCTTCAATGGTTTAACACCAGGCATGAATGCATTGTTGTTTTCTGATATAATCTCCTTCATTTTCGTTATGCTCTCTTGCACTGTCTTCCTTTTATGTGGGGCATTTTTATTTAAAAACAGATCATTTACCACCTGAATATTAACATACCTATCTATCTGAAACCCTTTAAATAGAATTTTTATATGTTCCCTAGTTTTACCTAAGAATTTTGGTCTGCATGTTATAGTCAAAGTAAACTTTTGTTGTGGGTAAAGTCTCCAAGGTTTTGTTAAAATAGGCGTAAGATTTATTTGTGAGTCCTTTTTCTTATTGAGAACAATCCACTTATTAATATAATGCATTTGGCCACTGTTGTTTAAAATAGTTATTACCATTGATTTTGATTCATTAAAATTTATATTTTCAAAATCTATTGGATGAGTCACACTTATCTTTTGTTCTTGTTCTATTATCAAACTGTTATTTTCTTCATCAGTGTGAGTGTTATCAACATCTTCAATTAATTCACTAACTTGTATAGTTATTACTTTGGTAGCTCTCCATGTACACAATCCTTGATTGCTTTCAATAGCTTCTAACATCACCTAACAATAATCAGAAAGTCTATATTATTTCAATGACTGACAAACTCTTTTTATACATTATTAGACACCTAGGTTCGATTTTTAAATTATTCATATTATGTAGATTCTAGTACTAACGTACTTAACTTACTATAAATGATAAAACCCATTTCTTTAGACTTCAACAAACTTTCTTTAAATTATTAATCTCCTAATTATAGTTAATAGTTTTATAAGAAATATTCTGATCTTTTAAGAATAACAACACACTTACATGATTCCCTTTTTGTGGTACACTCCCATCTTGCATTGATTGTCTATTAAAATAAATGTTTTT